GTAATGTATGCGATTAAATGTTGATTCTTTATAGTACTGATGGTCACTATCAGCGTCTCTCCTCGTTAAATCAATTGTCTTCTAAAAACTTTGCTGCTGTCGTTTTTCTTCACCACAAATGGTGAAAAATTGGTTCCATTCGAAATGGTAGGTAAGTCACTGCATTCTGATAAAAATGGCGCCCTTAACTGCACATCCTTGAAGTCAACCGTTTGTGAAGTGGCCTTCTAGACAAAGTGAAAAGCTTGTTAATGCACTTGAGATAAAGAGGTTACGGATGTAGCTACCATGTTTTACCCAGTCCTTTGCATGAAGGGTGGCACTGGAATGCCAACGCTTCGATGGAATTAAAATAGACCATCAACAGTCATTAAGCCATCATCTATTCAGTAAAAATAAACACAAGGAGGTTTATGGTATCGGAGGTCACAGTGCGTACAACAAAACAAGGAACATGCACAAGCCAAATGTCCCTTCATTATTGCAAACGATACATAAGAACTGTAAGGTCACCATATTTCGCTTGAATGTAGGATCCCGGACTGAAGCTCATGAAACTAAAATGGAAAATTATGTGGATATATAGTAACCCAGAAATTAAAGGTGGGGACATAAGTGAAAATTGAAGTAGATGTCTTACGCGGCGTAGTCGGAGCCAACAACAACATGCCACTGTGGTCCAACTTCATCGTCTAGCATTTCCTTTAGTTTTTGCGCCATTATCTTGGGATCACTGTAGAATTCTACAATGCGATCGCGGATAGTGGCCATCGTTCTGGACCGATTTGGACCCCGGAAATCTGTCTGCTCCACCATGAACACCTTTTGAGTGCTCTCCATATCCTCAGTGTAAGCTGGACGAGTAGCCATTTTGTGGTTTAGCAGTCTTTTGAGTAGAAGAGGCGAAAAGAGGTGATGTGACCGTCACTCCTTTAATTACAGTGGAATGAGTCCTCCTTCTGGTGCTTACCTAGGCAGTGGAACTATTTGCGCATTTCATTCAACTCATGAGTCTCTTCAGCCAATCAGACTAGCGCGTGTAGTGTGTGTACGCCATCATACCTACTGCTAAACAGTTTGATATCATTCTGGTGCTTAAAGCCCTATTCGTTAAAATACTTCGCGGTGTTCGCATGATTGAATTACTGGAGAGGCAATGAACTGTAGCCTAGCTGCACATGGAATTGTTACTCATGTCCATGTTGTTGCTCATTGACACCTCCCATGAAAGCAATTCCTTTTCGCCTCAACAGAATAGCATTTCATTAGCTTTGCTGAATAAAACATTCCGTCTTCTATAGCTATGAGGTTTAGTGCAATTTGGTTATGGTCTATTGAAGCACTCGTTTGATCCCCACTTCTCCAAACTACTCGCTACTTCCTACCGGGAGGCGGGTTTATGCCGTCTCATCGGTATACAATGCAAAAAAGCCAAAAGTAAAAATATACCTTGTGGTTTACTCAAAGTTGGAGAATTGAATTTTCCTTCGCCTCATCTAAGTAGCTGCAATTTTTTAGTTCACGTGCTGCATACTTCCACAACCAAACAGCTGGCCACTGTTCTAATGCTCTGATTGTTTTTGCAGCTGTATTTTGTGGTTTTGCGGGCAGTTGCGGCTCTGGCTTTTTGATCCATTTCGACACCTAACTTTCTATCTCTTCCCTCCTTCGTCGCCTTCCTTACTCATTCAATACATTACCACTTTCAGTATTGAGGAATGGCTCAATTAACTGAGTTAATTGTTAGTCCGCTTGACTAGAATTCGGTTCTCCTACACTCAGGATTAAGCATAAGCCGATTTAGTGCAACACTTCTTAATGCACTATCCCACTGATAGGTTTCACTACATTAGCTAAGGTATTCGTCACGATGTTTAAACCATCTTTCACTTCCTTGCCATGGATCCGTAGGTGCCCGTGCCTCCGAGTTAGAATTTTCGCGAGACAGTCTGACCTTCGGACCACGTCAGTTGATTCTTCTATACTTCAATGCAGTGCAATCTACCTCTGTAGTTTTGGCGTCTTTGCCTTTAAGGCAGTTTCAGCACTCGAACTCCGATGATGGGAATGACCTTTAGGTGGGACGTCGGGCAAGCTCCCAAAAACGTGTGACATTCACAACTACTAAGGTGTATGAAAAGTAAATATAATTTGATCCATTAATCGAACTGGCCACCTTAGCCTAATCAGTAAATTTTGCAAAGTATACTGCGACAGCAAAAGGCCTTCAATTTAGCGCCTGCCAAACGGGCGTCTGGCAGCAACAAGTCCTTAAAACAAATTAAAGATTCACACTTTAGCGTGGGTATTGGTAAATATTCTTTTTTTGTAGATAACTCTTTTAATTTTGTGTATGGTTGCCTAGTTTTTAAACAAATGTGAGTTCTCAAATCCGTGTCGGGAGAGAGTGGGAAGAAGTCCAAAAATGATTCGTAAAGCTACTTAATTTGCTTAGCTTTTTCATCACCATCTCCCATTACCTTAGGGTGTGAGTCTTTTAAGGCTTTTGAGTCATGCCTGACACAACGTGAGACCAGCCTTTAATTAATCTAACTGGATAGTACTGGAGCAAAAAGTTATACGATTTCGATTTATCCATGTATTTTAATCAACCATATTTGTGGCTTCACAAGACTTGTTAAAACGTTGTCGCAGCAACACCTCCCCATTATAGTCAACTGTCAACACGGAATTTTCACACTGCTCACATAGGGTCAAGAAGTCTGCCATACGTTTCAAGTTAACTTGGGAAGCTCTGGCAAAACCAAAGTTTGTCCTTTAGGCCTTGATTGTGTCTGTTAATCATTACTGTGTTTGATGGCATGGGGAATTCATATATAGAAAATTAGTGATAATGGGTAAGATAGGTGTAATCTGGTTATGTCAGAAAACTCCTTCAAAATAGCAAAGTGCAGGGCGTGTCACTTCGATTGTAATGCATTACAAATCAAATCAGGGCGACATCTTGGAACAGGCATTAAAAGCACTCTTTGGAAAGTTAATGCTTTGAAGGATAATTGACTTTCCATGCAACGATGTGGAAAAAAAATGAGGTGATGAATTAGTGGCGACATTTGACGTCATGTGGTTTATAAAATTTTCATTTCCTGTCACATTTCCCTGTTGCCATTATGGTTACTGCAGTCGGCAATCTCTGCATCGCCGCTAGTATGTCGATCATCTCCGCCTTCGGGATCGTGAAAAGAGAATTGCACTAGCTGATTGAATAAGATAATGACACCCAAAAAGCAGACAACACTTGCCCTTGTCTCTTTTCTCGAGCTATTGCAAATCATGGGTTTTCGCTTCTGCCTATTTCATACATTGTGCTGTGAAGTTTTGCTGAATGCGCACCCACATTTCCCACAACACAGGACAGTAAATAGCAATACCAACAAAAATGAAAACGAATTTGATTTTAAAATTTGCCAACTCACGTAAGGCTAAAATAGGTTTGCTTTAAAGTGGTAGCCATTTGTGCTTTTTATGGGGTTAAGAGTGCACCCTGGCTATTTTAGGAAATTTTTTCCGTGCACTATGTCCACAAAATTTTGCACTTATTTTGTAGCATGAGAACAATTAGGCAGAATTTTTGTGATTTAGAGGAGTAGGGGTGGCATTTTGGTCTGGAAGGCAAGGCTATTAATTAGGTGAAACCCTTTATTGGTGCTCGAATGCCATAATCAAATTCATAATAGTCATTCGCCAAGTAGAATCACTTTAATTTGATTGGTGCTATCGAAGGCGAGGAGAGTGAAGTAGGAGGCTCTTACGAGTACCCGTTGGGTGAGAACCGAGGTGGCACACTATCACTCACACGTTGCTTAAAGCACCTCACTTCAAGTCTACTGTGGGTACTTTGCAAACGCTGTATGAAAATGAGCAGATACGAACTAAAAGGTATCGAGTCCGACATGGTAGAGGACAGACGAAGACGAGTTATGGATATAATTTATGGACTTCTTGCTGAGCCAGAGAACTATAAGTGGCCGCAAAACCTTGCTAGACGCATTAAAGAGTGCTGTGATGAAGAGTTGGACGGTACTTGGCATTGCCATGTGGGTCCCAGCTTTGGAAGGTAAAATTAAATCTTTTTTCACAATCTTTTACGCATTTCATCTGTTCATTTACTCATTTTTTTTTTGTAAAGTTCCTTTCCGTACGAGTCCAACACCTATTTCTACTGTGAAATGGAAGACCTCAGCATCCTGGTGTACAGGTTTCAATGAAACGAAGGACGATCAAGCAGAAATCATGTGACTTCTTCCGATTGCTTCTGTTTGTCTGCTTCGTCTCTAAATGTATGCACCTTAATCATCTTCTTACTTCTCAGTGGTATTGTGCTGTTCTTGAAATAAGCTGAAAAACGATGTGTAAAAATTTGATTCATACGCCTAAAAAATGACTGCAAGTTTTGGGAGGGATTGATCATGCACAACTACAGTTTGTGTTGCTGACGCAAAGTATTGTTACAGGGAAGCAGTTG